CGTAAACCTTACATTTGTCACAAAAATAGTCAGCCAACTTTTCTTACACTTGATACAATATTGTTGAATTCCTTGCTCAAAACCACAATAATTACACATTATCCAGGAAATATCTTTTGGATTGACTTTTTTATTGCGAAAATGATCTTTATTATGACAATGATGACATGGGTAAAATCTTTCACAACATTTAAAATAAAAAGAACAATTTTTTTAGATTGTATACAATTTGTAAACATACATTAATACTTCTGTATCCGAGACATTTTTCCATCAATCTGTTTTTACATGGAAGGGTAAGTTATATATATACACACATCTTCACCTATTCAGCTACATAGGAAATTATTTTTCAACATTACTGTTCATAAGTACTTTCATTTGTTCAAAATGTTGATGATTATCATCATTTTCATCCAAATATTTTTTAATACTTTAATAAATGCTTCAATAAGTGATTTTGTTCCAAGATATATTTCTTTTCAGTTGCATCAAAAATCATTCTTAAATTATCTTCTTGACATTCATCAATAACATCAAAAACTCTGCACTGCTTTTTCCAACTCGAAATGACATCTGAAGATAGAAACACTTTATTCGAAATAAACCCATCATCAGTTAAGAATACTATAGTTCTACTTCGCCAATCTGCCATTATCACCAGCAAGAAATGATACTAAACATCTAACACTCAAATGTCAATCAGACTTCGTCTTCTTAAATATATCTTCTACATCATCTAGAAAAAACTAAGCGATCTGGTAGTCGCTTGATGACTGCGGTGATATATATAATACTTTATCCATATTAAATTTGCATTTGAAGACCGCAACCATTTTTCCGAAATTTCAGCAATTAATACAATAATTCTGTACACGACAGTCATAATACCAGTAAGAAATTATATTATGCAATATCCGGTACTTTTACCCTCTTATATATATATCATATAGTTACTATTACAATTTTTTCAATAATATTTTTATAAAATACTTTAATTAAATCCAATTGTGTAATGTGCTTATAAAATTCTTTTTTATCATGATAATAAAAGTAGTCTTCCAATTTTTCTATAAATATGTCAATACTATCTTTTCGCTGATTATCATCCCTTCATAGCATAATTTGAAATTAAATTTTCTTCCATCTTCAATTTCTTTGTTAAAAATAATCATCCCACCACCATCAATGAATTTAGATATATATTCTGATTTCATAATAATTTGACTTAAATCTTTTTCTTCATCAAAATCTTCATCGCGCTCAAATATAAAAGTAATACTTTGATTTGAAGATTTCGCCATTATCAATTAGACGCCAAAACATTCAAATGAAAAAATAAATCTTTTATTGAAGATTTTACATTAAAAGAGTGATAAAAAGGGTAAGAAATTCAAATTTATTTAAAAAAAGAAAAAAAGAAATATGATTAAAAAGTGAGAAATTCGAATTTTTTATAAAAATAAGAAATATGTTTTTTTACATAAAAAGATAAGAAAGGTTAAATTTTTTTTATTTATTTACTAAGAAAGTGTAATATATAAATCCTTAATATCAATGTAGGAAGATAACCACATTGGTATTCAATGAAAAAGATGGAAAAAAATGATGTGAATAACCCTTCCAAAAATTATGGTGGATTTGGAAATATTTCATATGGAAAACCGTCAACATTTCGTGAATTTAATAAATTTAATTCACACCATATTTTTCCTCTAAAAAATGTAAGCAATCAATATGTACAAAATGTATCTATTGTGAAATTGAATCTTCTGTAGAATCAAAAGTTTTTTCTGAATTTAACAAAATAATACCACTAATAAATGGAGAAATAAAAAAAATTGAAGAAAAACTTACAGAGAAAATTGATGAATTTATAAATCATCTAAGAATGGAATTTGAGTTTAATATAAAAGAAATGTATGAAAAAGTAGAAAAAGATATAAAGTAAGAAAAAAGACAAAAAAAGATTTTTTATTAATTCAAAATAAAATTATTTGTGTAAAATGTTTGTACTTATAAAAAAGAAAAATAAAAACCCATAAAGGAAGCATTACAATGATTGGTTACTAGTAATCATTGTGAGGCTTCTTTCATGGTATTATTTATGATGCCAAAGAAACTTATATATACATCAAGACGCGAAGATGAATATATTGCTATTTGCAATCGATTGAAGACGTATTTTGACTTTACGTCATTATATCCCATATGTTCAAAGAAACTGATAAATACGTCAAGACAAAATACAAGAGAAAATACTAAACCACACAATGTGTGACATACCATCTTCTACAAATTCTTTTACTTGCGTTTGTGTACAAATAGAAGATTGGATTAATTGGTTTTGGGACAAAAATAATGGTGAAAAGACTGGGTCATATTTACGATTCTTTCTTGTGAATTATGCGATAAAGCGAGACAATTTGTATCATCAGTAAATCGGACTTTGGAAAAATTTAAAATGTGTAACATACGTGCTGGATCGAGTTTCTATCAATGTCTTTGTTTACAAATAAAAGATTGGTTTAATTGGTTTTGGGATGAAGAATTTGGTGAAAAGGTTGATTCCTTTTATCGTTTCTTTAATGTGGATGAAGCATTGAAGCGTGACAATTTGTATCATCAATAAATTGGACTTTGGACTTTCCATAATATCATTTTTTAAAAATTGGACTTTGGACTTTCATCAATGTAATTATTTTATATTGTATTTGAAATATATATCTTTTTTTTTATGAAATCTACTTGTTTATATATTTTATATTACTCTTATCCACTATTCTAATATATATATGTATATTATCACAGGCTCACCCTTCTCTATTTTTATGTTTACTACCGCTGACTGCCTCAAAAACGATCCCCCCGGTTTTTTTTATTATAAGATGTATTATGACTATTTTTAGACATAATACATTTTATAATAAAAAAACTTGAGCCTGCGATGATATATATATATATATTAGTTAACTACTCCTACTCTTGACTTCATTCCTGATATTTCGTGCATGCTACTAACGAATAATAAATGATGTCCTTATCAGTTTCTGACATTCTGCGACGCTCAGATTTTTCAGGTTAAATTGTGCAATGTTTTTCTTTTTGCTGCTTTTGTTAACGATAATTTAGGAAGAAATAGAAAACTTAAAATATATAGACATGGCTTATTAGCAAAAAAAGTGAACAGTTAGGAAAAGTCGCTAAATTCGTCAGCGCGCAAGGATTGCAAAAAAATTTGAAGGAAACAGGTAGTTAGACTTCCAATGGTTTGTCAAACAGTAAAATTAATGCAAGTAATAAACAGTTTTAGGATGAGAATTACGCCAAAGACTCTCAATGCGACACATTTCAAGCTCTTTGGGTTAAACTTAGGCCAATCGACTAATTATAAACTAATTAGCTAATTCAATTACTGCAATGGAAATTTTTGTAATCTGGGTGTGGAATCGTTTGATTTGTAATTTTAATAAACTTAACTTTTGACGTTTCATGGATCAACACAGATTGCCAGAAATAATTTGTAATTGCACCTAAAAGCTACAACGAAACATTGCAGGTGATGTTAACAAATCTTTATAATTTCTACAAGACTACAACAAGGATTCTTTAACAGCTTTCTCTCCACTTGATTTATCAGATTACATAGTAATGTATAAATACATTATACCAAGCGTTAGATCTACTTTTACCAACAAATAAGCCAACAAACGCATATTTTCTCCTATTCAACTGAAACGCGCAAAAGTTCCACAATTTTATTCAAGTATATACAGAAGCGTACATAATTAATTCGATTTGACGAAATTGACGAAAATCGTTAAAGTGACTGTCTTTGCACTATTTGCTGTAAGTTTTGACTCCCCCCAAACGAGAATTAACAATGTTAACATTTTATTTTGCTGTAAACAAAAGAAAACACAGTGATTAAAAGCAAGGATGTCGGATAAATCCCAAGATTGCAGCTTCATGCTATGAGAGCCATACTTGGTTTCTAAACGAGCAGCTAAAAGTCTAAAAATTTGTAAAGAGACGGTTTGATTCCAAAAGCTGCAAACACACCTCAATTGACCCCAAGACAACAAAAAAACTGCAATCCAAAAAATACTGATGAATACATCATTATCCCAGTCTTCTTGTGTTTTTGAAGAACGTATTCAACCTTTAACAAACAAAACTTAATGGGTCCCGGGGGAGGAGGAGACTGCATTGTTAAAGTTATTAAAGCAAGTTTAAAGCCACAAAAGTTCTGTTTGAACACAAGCAATATGACTTTTCCTTCTGTGGTATTAAATTGAAGTTTGCAGCAAACTTTTTACATGCATGTGGTCTCTTTTGACCTGTTGCCAAATTTTGGTATCTTAAAGATAGGCAAACCACAGTTAGATACAAGTAAGTTTAATAAACATTCAGACTATAGTAAATGTTAGTGGCGGATCTCGTGCTGGTCAAAATAAGTTATAAAGACTCATTTTAACAACCTTCTCGGCTGGAAATTTTTAAAGAAGAATTAAACCGAAAATTCTCCCAGTCAGATTGTCACTAAAGTATTTAAAATTGGAAATATATGTTTATTAATGTATTCTGACCTTCCCTGGATCCGCTAATGTAAATATGACCGTTTTGAAAGTGCAAACACAAAAAAAAACATATTAAACTCTTGTAGTATAAACTGGAACATTTGCTTTCAATCAGGTCTAATCCTTTTTTAACAAAGTCGCTTGTGCATAAACAAAGATGCAACGATACTAAAGCGCACTTTATAGCCAAAGTCGGCGTTTTGTAGATAAATTTTGTTGTTAATAGTGTGTTTTATTAAAAAGAAAAACAAATAACAAAATAAAGGCAATACTTTTTGTAAAATATAGATATATTTGGTTGACTGGGATCAAAAAATTGTAAAATGTTCCAAAATACAAAAGCTCGGTCCACTCTTAAATCGCTTAGAATATGTATGATTTTTATATCAAAATTCGCGCCAAATGACGTAGTTTCTAATTATGGAGGTAACTAGACGTCACAATACTAAGCCTTTAACGGACCGAGGGAGAGAGGTCCGATATTTCTCAGTGAAGACTGAGAAAGCGAGGTTATTAAAAGGTTTATTATATGGCATTATTCGACCTGAAACGTAGCTTTGTTTATTTTGCGTTTTGCTGTTTGCATTACGAAATTTGTTTACATTTGACTGCAAATTTTGCGTTTCGGACCATGGTCCATTACGGGAAAATAATGGACCGGCAAAATGTTTCCTAGCCAATCAAAGTGCGCCATTTAGCCGGAGGTGACGCTTGCCATCTAATAAAATGCATTAACGCTAGCTCTATTTTTCTTATGACTTCCGCTAGCAAAGATCAAATCCTATAGCAAATCCTATAGTATGAAGAAGTTGTGAACCGTAAAGTCTAGGTCTAAAACGCAAAGTCAAAATAGAATCGGAAGACGCGTTAAGAATCAAATTTTTTTACCTAAGCTGGATATTATACGAAAAGCACAAGATCAAATTTAGTCGTCTGTGTATTTAGGCTTCACATTTACTACTTATATCCAGTGGTTGCTTCTGGTGAAAAAGCCCCTGCATTGAAATTTTTTTTGGTGCTCTATTATATAAGAAAAAGAATCCCCTTGCTGAAGCATACAGTAAAAGCAAAAGTTGACTAATGCTATGTACCCTAGTATCACCCATCAAATTACGTAAAAATTAGTATATAACGATACTATCTAAATTATTTGACAGGAAGTACGTCACAGACATCCTTCACTGGAACATTATTTGACAGGAAGTAAGTCCCAGACACCTTTAATTGAACATTACTTGACAGGAAGTAAGTCACAAATATCTTTCAATGGAACACTGAATGAAGTCGTTGGAAAACTGCAACCGTATTTTGGCTTGCAAAAAGACGACGCTGCATGCACCATCATTGAAAATCCTTTGAAACTCCAAAAAATGGCAAACAAAGTAACATATAAGATCATGTTCACGATAGTACAAAAACCTAAAGGAAGATACGATCGAGACAGAAACAACTGGTCAACAGAATTCAAATCTTTTGCACGTGGTGTTCGTGCGGGAATGGTCAGCGTTTGGTTTCGATTTGGTTTTTGATTTCCTAATACTCATCGTTCTAACTGACGGAAAATCGTATGTTAGTGTCACAAGATCTGCAAAAATTATTAGAAATAATGAAATTGCCTTTTTTGCCATTGGAGTTGCAAATTACGACATAGCACAGTTAAAGAAGATTGCTTCATCCAAATCAACACGTCTTTACATTGAGCTCTTTCTCAAATCTCAATGCTTTTATTTCCACAATAACGTCGTCTGCATGCTACGAGCCTCGAGTGGTGGCAAATAACGAAACGATTAGAACCAGTGTTAAAAAAGTCGCAAACAAATACTTCAATTATAAAGTCAAGCCTAATTTGAACCTAAAAATAGATGTAAAGGACCTCCAGGTCAGTACTATTCTTTACGTGTCTCGTACCACCCACATCCATATCGTTATAACTACGATTTAAAATTTGAACGAGCATCACAGAAGGATAAAGTTATTGTGATTTCAGCAAGAGCCATCACGAGACGATCAAAGCGATCAAGTCAAGAAAATCTCCGACCAATCTACATCTCGGTGATGTCTAACAGTGACACAGCAGAATTTGAAATTAAAGCAAACGAATGTGATCCAAGTGTCTGTGTTGAAGGTACAAATGAACGTAATTTTTTGAAAAAAACCATTTGTTTTACATTCATCATTACAATCACAGTTGCTTTTTTGTCGTTTGCTTGTTAATGGTTTAAGAACAACTCAATATACAGACGCACTTATGTAGAAATAGATAACTCAATTGCATGTAGAGATTTTTTCTTGTTGTTTTCTTAGATAAGATTTATAGCCAACCACATTGTAGTTACAAGCTAGGAGTTCATACATATTATCTTGTATGGCACGTTGTCGATATATTTACACTGTACACAAGCATTGATTTAACATGATAAAGTTTCACTGAAAATTGAGAAATATGTAAAGTTACATTAAAGTCATATCTACTTTATGTTACATCACTTATTGTGTAATATTATTTATTGTCTTTAATTTTAAACTCGGCTTTTACACAGGATTCTGTGCATGTTTTTATAGCAAAAAGAACTAGCAATTACAGGATTACAAACTTCTACAGGCTACGTAAAAAATTATATAATTTATGTTGTTAGGGTGGGACTGAATTATTCAAAGTGCATAAATAATATGATGAGCAACTCATATTCAATGTTAAATTTATACATAAAAAGCCCACAATGACATGTTGGTTATTTGTCTTTTTTTACAAACCTTTTGCTCGTTAACAGTTTGAAGTCTTGAACAGTTGAACTTTGTGATAGATTTAACATTTGGACAAGTTAAGCGTAATGTGTCGATATGTGGAAACTTCTTTCTATTATTTCATTTTTGTACAATTGCTCCATTGTTCATCTCATCGCATTCACTTATAACTCATAACCAAGGACGATGATTTAAGGTACAGCAAAACTGGCGAGTGCTGCACGTAAAATTTTCAAAATTTATGCATATTTCATGTATAATTAAAATAATACTTATAGCAGCGTTAACCATAGTTAACTAATTTAATTTTCCTCTTCATTATGATAGCTACGTTCTTTTTTCCTCAGTTTTAAACGCTGCTTCTAGATTTTACAATGAATATTGAATGAAAAGCAGTCAAAAACAGAGTTTCAGCGGTTATTGTTATTTTTGCGTTTCGACCATTTTACTGCGTTTCCTGCTAATTTCATGGCTACTTCTTACAAAATCGGCATAGAAACAGGATGTTGTTTAGTTTGAATCTAACAAAAAATTTAATTAGTTTAATTGCTTTGCCGAGCTCATCGAAATCGTCAAGGCAACAAAGGCATCGAGTACAGCAAACAAATACAGCATCGGTAAGACGTTATACAAGAGGCACGGCAAGACTATATGTTTAACTTTACATTGCGCTATATAATCGGCAACAATTGGTGGGGGATTCGTTCAAGTGCAAAAAGCTCGTCAGAACAACAACAAAGCTTCTTCGCTTAAGATGACCGCCAGTTTTTTTGGCTAGACTGCAGTTTAGCGGACACCCGAAGTGCTTGTATGGGGCGCGAGCTCGTTTTGGCTTAGGATATATGGTAGGGCTTGGGTCAGTGTCCAAGGTGTCCGCTAAGCTGCAGTAGTCCCGGCTGAAACACACTAGGCAGTCACAACACCTGTAAAACGGTGTAAATTAGTAACAATTACACTTCTCATTTTATTGATCATTTTGATCCAAAATAAATTCAAGCATTTGAACAAAAACAATAAAAATCATAAAGCCGTATCTTTTCTTTGCATAACAATCCCTATTCTTAAGATGATTTAAATTCCGTTGTATGATTAAAATCATTTGGCCACGTATCGACGACACATGATGCTTAACTTTTCCAAATGTTAAATCTATCTCAAAGTTCAACTGTTCAAGACTTCAAGCTGCTAGCGTGTAAAAGGTTTGTAAAAAAAGACAAATAACCAACATGTCATTGCGGGCTTTTGATGTATAAATGTAACATTAGATATGAGTTGCTCGTCATATTATTTATGCACTTTGAATAATTCAGTCTCACCCTAACACCATAAATTATATATTTTTTTACGTAGCCAGTAGAAGTTTGTAATCCTGTAATCGCAAATCAATCAAACAAAGTTACACTCAGAAACAACAACAATTTTACTTACCAAAACAAATACCACTGTCTTTCAAAAGATTGCGTATTTATGATGATAATGTTTGTATATTAAGGAATTTCAATTCTTTTGTGAGCAATTATTATTCGTTGCTTCCACACCGTCTATTAGCCAAATATGTGTTATTTCATTCACCGTTTGATATTAATAAATGACATTTATGACTCATGAAGGATATTCGTTTCAAAATTATAAATGGACTCATTTGCCAACATTGAATAGTTTAAATTTTTAAGTCGTTTAACATGTAGAAATTTTCATCCTAAAATCGGTTTATCTTTAAAATGATATCGCTCATTAAATTTAGATTTCTTGATTTTTTATGCAGCTAAAGAATGTCGCTAATCTTTGTAACATTACAAGTCTTTCGTTTCTCTTGGTTCTAGTAACTAGTGTCGAAATCTGCCAAATGTTTTGGTGTTAATTATCGCTTTTCGTATTTCATTCAAGTCTGTAAAGTACGTAGTATAGAGCGATCTTTGAGTTTTAGTATAATGGTACTACTTTAGAAATGTAGCTTTTTGAAGTGCCTGAAAAATACCATTTATACCAAACAATCTTTTAAACTTTATATTAAAAACACAGTATCAGACATCATTGAGAACTTGTTATAGACGGCTTTGTGCAAAGCTTATGATACCAGGCACTTGCCTTACAAACTTGTCATGCAAAGGAAAAAAACTGCTAGGCATAGGAAACTTTCTCTATTATTTCATTTTTTTACAATTGCTTGATTGTTCATCTTGTCGCAGTCACTTTTAACTCATAAGTTCATAGCAAGTGGCAATCATTTAAGGTACATCAAAACGGGCAAGCGCTGCAACTTAAAATTGCCAAAATTTATGCATATTTCATGTATAGCTAACTAATGCAATTTTCATATTCATTATGATCATTATAATAAATTTTGTTCTTTTTTCCCAGTTTTAAACACTGCTTCTAGATTTTATAATGAATATTAAATAAAGCTTATGATACCAGGCACTCCTTACAAACAAGTCATGCAAAAAAATTTTTTGTTAGGCATATGAAACTTTTTCTATTATTTCATTTTTGTACAATTGCTTAGTTGCTCATCTCATCGTAGTCATTTTTAACTCATAACCACTGACGGATTTAGAGTAGAGTAAAACGGACGAGCGCTGCAAGTAAAATTTTCAAAATTTATGCATATTTCATGTATGATTAAAATAATACTTATAGCAATGTTAACAATAGTCAACTAAATTACGCTTTTTTTCCCACTTTTATACAGTGAACTCTATGAAAAGCGGTGAAAAGGAGAGTTTCACCTGTTATCATTTTTACTTTTCGGTTTTGCTGCGTTTCCTTCTAATTATTACAAAATCGGCTAAAAAACGGGAGCTGTTATTGATTATTTCGAATATAACAAAGAACTTCATTGGTTTGATTGTTTGCCCAGCTTAGGAATCAGGTATACACATGTTACAGCAAACAAATACAGCATTGGTAAGACTTTATACAAGATGCACGGCAAGACTATATTCTGTGTACTTCATCACCTTCTCCTGCGAGCAGTTCATCGTCATATGCGAAGTCGTTTAAATGCTCAACATAACCAAGGGATTCCGAGCTCAATCAGATACGCATTCAGACATCGAATTCGAATTATCTGAGCACTGATTTGAGGCCATACTTTCCGGCAAACTTCCATTTTTTTTTAATATTTTATTGAAAATACTGTCATTATTTGTTTTTAAGACAAGAAAAACGACAACAAAATCACCTCCTATAATATAATATTATATTGACAGAAACAGACGTGTTCAACTATCTACGTCACAAGTATCAATATGGTGTCGTAAAAAATTCGCAAATAGTACCCGACTTTGGAGGCAAAATTAAGGATTTTATATTTATCTGTTTAAGTCCAGCGACATGTCATAGTTCTTCAAATAATCCAAATTTTCAATTAAGCTCATAAAAAAGGGGGGCTAAAATTCGTAATATAAGCATTTTAACGTTTACATTGCGCTATATAATCGGCAACAATTTATGGCGCGCCAAGATGGACAATATTACCAAAATCGAAAATATGTACAACGAAACACATTATCGTATATCGAAAATAATATACTGGCAACTTTTTCAATAGTTGTAAAATGAAACGCAAAAATATAAAAGAAAACAAAAATTCGTTTACCATAATTTATATATACGCAACGAAATTTATTTTTCAAACTATGAAAATTATTTTTATAAAACGAAACTCATTTATATAAAACGAAATTGACGTTCATAAAACGACGTTTTCTTCGAACAAACGACATTTTTTACCGCTTTTTAGCGGCCATTATTTTGTAGCCTGCAAAAGCCATCCACTACAAAATTCTGAGCATGTCTTCGCGAAGGAACTTACATAACTTGACGAACCTTGTTGCATCTATCACTCAGCTCTCTGAAAGTGATTGCTCCAACAATTGTGAAAGAACTTTTGAAGGAGATAACGATGCTAACACTAGCAATATTGAAAGTACGATACGCACTCTGTTCCCTTCTGCAAATGGTCGTTCATCCACAATCACAACAGTCGGAGGAGCAGCGACTACACCAGCTAATACTTCAATGCACCACACGTCTCCACTGTTCAACCCAAGTGTAAATTATGGGGGAGGAAAAAACTCAAAAAGGTCCAAGACTAGTAAAAATAACAACGGCAAGAAGCTGAAATTGAACGAAGCTCGAACAACTCTAAAAGATGTTGTCTTGATACCATATTCAAAGCAAACTAAAGTACCACGTGGACGGGAAAGAGAAGCAATTTTTCCGCTGGATTATAGTCTACGTTTGAGTTAGACCCTTCCATGGATGAGGAAGGAATAAGAACAGCATTAGAAAGCAAGTTTGCAGTGAAGTTTTCGAATACAAAGAAGTCTCCCAAATTCGAATTTATGAGAGCTGTACACAGCAAGCTGATTTCCCTTGAAACTGACGGCTGTCCAAAATGTGACGGTAGGATTTTAAAGAATGTGTCTGCTCAAGGACCAATATATATTCGGGCCAAGGAAGACAGTGTGTCAGTGCATAGTTTAGTCAAAATAAAGAACAAAAACAGTGATGACATTAGCTCTAAAGATGATGACATTATTTTGAAAACAACAATGTTCGAGGACGAATTCAAAAGTTCATTTTCATCACAAAATTTGGGAGACAATCTAAAATCAACATTGCCTCCCTTGTTGCACTTTTCTTCCTCAGATGATATCTCTCATGAAACGTCAAGTGTGGCTGCCACATCTACAACCTCATCAATTTTGTGTCCAACTTGTAATATGAAATTCAAAATTGATGAAATTGAAGAGCATGCTGATTTGTGTTGTTAAAGTGCTTGGAAAGGCACTGAACAGCACTATGTCAGTATATTGTCTCAATTTAAACGTAAAGATGACCAGAATCAACCTAAAGATGACCAGGATCACCATTTGTCGTCCGATACAGCAGCTGAGCATACTGAACTTCTACAATTCTCATTGCTGGAGGAGTTGAAAAAACTAGAAAAAAATTTGGATCAAACCACAAATCGTGTAAATGTGCAAAAGATTAGTATTTTGAGCGACTATTTGGATAGGAGGATAAAATGTTCTTTGTTTTCTCCAAAAAACAAAATTAAGGTCGTCTTCATAGGTGAACCTGCCGTTGATGATGGAGGTCCAAGGCGTGAATTTTTTTCTGGTAATGTGACAGAAAAAATAAATTTAGTGCATAATGTTTTACCCTTTAATGTCCTGTAATATAATGATGTTTTTTAGAAATACTCTTTTTGTTCAGGATGCGGCTGTTTGATGAAGGAGGAATGCCTTTGGAAAGCATCATGGCATTGACACAGAACTTGTACAAATATGCAGGGGAAATTATGGTCATGTCAATTCTACAAGGTGGACCTTTAAATCAAATCCTTTTAGTGCACCAAATACCATTCTCTCTCCTGAATTTGCGGAACGATTTAAGATATGTTCTACATAGGCGTCAAGGTCTTCATCACTTATGTCGCTATAGGTCACAGCCTGCCCAATTTCCATGCGAAGTTCTTTTCTTCGTCGCCGTATTGTTCTTTACAAAATATTAAGCATCGCTGCAATTTTCTTCCATGAAAAGTGCAAGCTACGCAGTCCATCAATTTGTTCTTTTGTAATAAAAAATCGTGGCCTTCCAGCAGAGCTCATTTCGTTCTCTTCCATTGGGCATACGTATTGATCGTTTTCATTGCCGTTATGAATGTTAAATTGAGTTGAAAGTTTTGCAATTTCATTTTAAAAAACCATAATAACATCTGTGAAAAAATGCACGATTTCGTTAGTCCATCCCTGAAAGCGAGATAGTAGGCATAGGCCACATAAGTATTCTTCAGAACGAGCTATTATCACTTCAGCCGTAACATTATCTTTCGTAAAAATGTTTCGATGTAGTTCATCAAATAAACTAAAGCCTCTCGTCAAGAATTCCACAATATCCCGATATTCTGCCATATTTAATATGGAAGGAACAGGCAGAGAGAAAGGATGGAAGGAACAAAATAACGAGTCGTCGACAGTGTTCACGGAACGCGAAATAAAACGCCGTTTTTTCTTTGATGTCAGTGGCAGGGCGCGGTAGCAAATGTCGTTTGTTCGAAGAAAATGTCGTTTTATGAATGTCAATTTCGTTTTATATAAATGAGTTTCGTTTTATAAAAATAATTTTCATAATTTGAAAAATAAATTTCGTTGTGTAAACGATAAATTATGGTAAACGAATTTTTGTTTTCTTTTATAATTTTACAAATATTGAAAAAGTTGCCAGTATATTATTTTCGACATACGATAATGTGTTTCGTTGTAAATATTTTCGATTTTGGTAATATTGTCCATCTTGGCGCGCCATAACAATTGGTGGGGGGATTCGTTCATGTGTAAAAAGCTCGTCAGAACAACAACAAAGCTTCTTTGCTTAAGATGACCGCAAATATTTGTAACAGATAATGGACTATTTAAACCAAACACGAAACTCCTGAACATCACGATATAAATGAAAGTCTTTTTTAAAACACTTAAAATTCAGCAGTACAGTTCTGTTCAATGGGTTCGAAGGTGTTTGTTGTTAATACGCAATAATTCAAAATGGGATTCATTTTGACTTCACCTTCATAGACTATTTTTTAGCTTGAGATTACGAGATTAACACTTAAGTTGACCCATATCAAGCTCACATAGCAGTTTTATTTTGTGATCTGTAAAATCATTCTATTGAAGCAGTAAACAAAAGATTTTCATGTCAAGACAATTCTTTATTTAAAAGCTCTACATGCTTTTTAATAAAATGAGTCATAACTCATAAACCTCTCCCCGATGCAATATACCCATGTCGTATCCTCCCCTAAGGCAAAAAATATTAAAATTTATTATTCAGCAAAATCGATCACCTTCCATAGGATGATTTCGACTTTGATTTTGTAAAGATTAAAAATATTATGACGATGATATTTCTTATGAAATGTAGTTGCTTTAGGTTTTGGTTCCCATGTTTCATTAAATACACATATATTTATGAAGATACGATTACTAATGTTAACCCCCGCCACAGTTCCATCTTCTGGTCTCTCACTAGTCTTAGCCACCGACACAATTCCAACTTCTAGTCTCTCACTAGTGTTAGCCACCGCTACAGTTTCACTTTCTGGTCTCTCACTAGTGTTAGCCACCGTCACAGTTCCACCTTCTATTGTCTCAATAGTGTTAGCAACCGACACATTTCCACCTTTTGGTCTCTCACTAGAGTTAGCCACCGCCACAGTTACACCTTTTGTCTCTCACTAGTGTTAGCCACCGCCACAGTTCCACCTTCTGGTCTCTCACTAGTGTTAGCCACCGTCACAGTCCTACCTTCTGGTCTCTCACTAGTATTAGCCACCTTCACAGTTCCACCTTCTGGTCTCTCACTATTGCTAGTCACCGCAACACAAGACTGAATTTCCCCAAAAGTGGAAAGAGTACTCTGACTTCAAAAGAGGATTTGTTCAAAAACCTCTGGCATTCCTTTTTGATGGTCTAGATTTTGTAATAGGGGTAGACAGAGACATTGATATTGAATTGAGGTGACTTAGAAAGGCAGAAATTCTATGTTCTAAGATTTTTTTGAATTGTCATGGAAAAAATGATGCAATTCATAGTCTTTCATATTTCTATAACAAATTTTTGGCAAAAGAGAATGGTTTCATCCCATGTCAAAGCTACATCTGATCTCAGTCATTTCAAACTCATCATGAAATTTCCCTTATGTTTCCTAACATGTATTTAAAGCAGCATATGGTGAAGAGAATGATAAAAATATGATGATAATATTTCTCATGCAATATGATAGTTTTAAAATAAAATTACCGGCAGTAATAAACACTTTACTACAACAACTCTTTTCAATCATCTGCACTATAAATTAAGCCCCTACGCTCCTTAAATAAATTTCCTCAAAACCAAATCATGAAAGTTCTCCATGTTTTATTAAGTACATGATACATTTATATTTATGAAAATTCTGCATAAAGAGCCTCGACGTAAAAATCCTTTAACAATGTAATCAATGCTGGAATTTTAAAAACGATTTAAGAAATCAATAAGCTGTTTTGTGGTTAATATATGCAAAGTATCATCGGATTAATTAAAATGAAACTGAAAATCATCGGTTTTCTCATCAATTTAATAGCTTCATGAATACAGACAATCAACTTATTCAGGATATCAGATAATACAATAATGAAAACACCAGCTGCATCAGTTCTTTCTTGCTGAAGTGGTTGCTTGCATGAAAGTCAAAAACAGAATACAGAAATTAATGGAAAATTTCTATAATTGTGTTGATTCAAACTAAAGCTTGATTCATCATGTCCACTGAATGCCAGCTCTTTTTTAGACAAATGTTAGACAACCTTCATTTATATTTACCTTTTCTTCTTATTATGCCTTTATCCTCATTATGTCGTTTCTCTTTTTGTTCTTGAAAATAAAACTTCAACACACTGGGAAAAATCCCTGTTCATTAAGTTCAACATTTTATAAATTTGAAAAACAAAATTTCATTTTATGTTTCCTGAATCCGTCAGAAAAATGATGCTTGTTTATACATTCAATGTTTGTCCAAGTTTTGGATTTGCACGAAACAGCAAGGAGTATGACCATGCAGTTAACTACTGATTTTTGTCCTTACAAACACACATGTAAACAATCTTTCTTCCCTTATCAAGATGATCAGAACCTCCTGCCTCTCATTTCAAATCTTAGCGTGCACTTTGCATGGCTTGCGACATTTTGCTTTTTAGCATTTTGTGCAACGGAAAAGCCTTTGTAAAAGCTGAGAAACAATTAATATATCTTGCTCTTTTATCTGCAGATTAGAGATGCAATTGTATTTTTAAATGCCATAAAACTGTAGCTTAAGCGATGAGAACTTTGAGAGTATTTAAAATAGTTGCCCTAAAAAATTTAAGCACCCTCAAAAAAAAACTTCAACGGCTGATTTATAACCCCTCCCCCGAAAACAGAGGCATTATTTCATCAGCATTTATTGAAAACTTACATTTCAAGTAAAATTCAAAAAAAATAGTTTATTGACTACATTAACGTTTGCCTGATATTAGTAGTTCATGGTCTTAAAATTGATAAAGAATTTTGACCATTAAACTGTCAATCTTCGCAGCCATAAAAAACACGATTGGGTTTTATACAATTGGTTGCAAAACAAAAAAATTTCAAAAGTCATATTTAAACACGTGCATTAGACTCTAGAATGCATTAATATCAACCTTAGTCTATTCAAGAAAAGGCATTACAACATTTTAAACAATCCTTAAAAAGAGTAGCTATATTTGCTGTTCATGACGATAAAAAATGTGAACTATCCAGTAAATATCGTGTTGTTTTTAATGTTTGTGGCATTTGTTCGGATTAACCCTTTAGGAGCCAGGTCTTTTCAAAAGTTTGTACACGTCTCGTTTGGTGATTTTGCCTGTGAGCAACAACGGTCTCTAGAAGGTTAAGGATGCTTTAATTGACGAGAGCTGTTGCATGTTTCCTGTTATTTAATATTTGCTTATGTTCATTTGCATTTATAGCATGATACAGGCGAAATTGAATAAATAAATAATTAACTAAATAAATGTATGTATGAGTAAATATATTTGATTTCATCGAATGTGAAAAATTCTCGACTTTCATGATAACTAATACATTTATCTTGTAAATTAAATTTTTAGAATTGCTTGATTTTACATGTCTTGGTGATACAATAAATTTTTTAGATGGATACAAGAGAAAACAGAAATCTATTTTACATGAAAAGAGTAATCAATGTGGTACAAACGGAACTTGCTCAATTTTTCATCAAAGAATGGAACTCTCGTTACAAATCAACACATGGAGAATGGGATGATACACACAACAGTGGGAACAAATTTTACACTTTAGAATCGGGTAGGAAGTTGGATAAAAAACTACAATTAAAATATCAAAATGGAGACACAAGTAAATGGGACTGCACAACATTATTCGATGCTATACTCTTTTCAAAATCGATTGGCAGACATCTTCATAAAAACACAAAGATTGCTGTTCATGCACTTCGCGGTGAAAGAAACAAGTACGCACATTGGTATAAAAGCGAATGCTCAGATGATGATTTTGATGATATAGTCAGTATCATTGAAAAATCATTTCAAGATTTGAAATTTTCTCTCGATGAAATCATTAAAATAAAAAATCATCGAAACTGTTTCAATTCGTTTCAAGTTCTTCCTTCAAAATCTAATCATTTTTTCGTTGAACGCACTGAATTACGAGATAAAATTATAAAAGATCTTGAAAAATTAAGGAATGATAACAATGATAAACTGACATATTTCTACATCACTGGTAATCCTGGCAGTGGTAAATCACAACTTGCAAGACAGGTTTGTGAAAAAATATCGTGTGCTTGGAAAAACAAAACTTCGTTTGTAATGACTCTCGATGGAAAAAATGAGGAATCTCTTTTAAAAACTTACTGTGAACTTGGATACCGTTTAAACTGTGACAAGTATATGATTAAAATATTTAAAGATGAAAACTGTTCCATCACAGATAAAGTGATAAAATTGCGATCGTTAGTATCCACACGACTAAAATTCTGGCAAAAGTGGTTGATCATTCTAGACAACGTGGTAAAGCTCAGCAAAATTTCTTCGTTACTTCCCCAAGTTGGTGATCCCATGTGGATAAACGGACAAATCATAGTAACCATCCAGAACATAGATGCCGTACCTCAAGACGATGAGTTTAACAAACATATTTCTATCAGAAGCGGTATAAATGATAGGGAATGTTTTCAACTGTTGAAGCATTACACCATTGAGCACGTTGATGATCAATTGTTAAATGAAGTATCGCACGCATTAGATCGTCAACCGCTGGCTTTGGCTGCTGCTGGTTATTATGTCAGTCGTGTAAACAAAGCAAACTGCTCATTTACTTGGAGTCAATATTTAAAGAAAATATCTTCAGAAGAACAAGAAAACATGAACGCCACTTTTGTTAAATTTAACTCGGTATATCCTAGAAGTATGTTACAAGCTTCACTTTTAGCTGTCAGACAAAATGCTGAAGAATCCTCAATATTGGCAAATGTTATTAACTTTTTTTCCTTTATATCGTTTGATCCTATACCACGAGACATTATTATTTGTTATAATCAAAAAATTGATCCCAAACACTCAAAGGAAGATATATGTCTTCATTTAAAGGACTGCTCATTGTTCTTGCATTCAGAAAATAATGACATTAGTCTACATCGCATTGTTCACAAAGCAATTACTGTTTATCAATCTGAACATTCAAATGAAGAACATGAAATGAAAACTAAGGTTGATCAAATATCTAAAGCACTTTACATGTTTAAAGAGAGAGACGACGAAATCAAATTAATGCCACATCTTGAAAAAATTGTTCAATTATTAAAGACCAACAAGACAAAAATCAACATGAACATTTTAGAAGTTTTCCAATATTTTGTTGACAAATTAAGACATTTTGGAAGATACGATCTTGCTCTTGAACTATTGAATAAATTTAATTCAGAAGAATCTGGTTATGACAAAGCTTGGTATTTTAATATCCTCGGTCTTTTATACCATGACACCGGGGAATATAGCAAAGCTAAAAATCATCATGAAAAAGCTCTGGAAATTCGAAAACAATCGTTAGGTCCAAATCATGTTGATGTCGCTGTGTCTTTAAACAATCTTGGTAATGTACTTGACAAAACTGGAAACTACGACAAAGCTATAGAGTTTCATGAAAAAGCTCTGGAAATTCGAAAACAATCGTTAGGTCTACATCATGTTGATGTTGCTGGGTCTTTAAATAATCTTGGTACTGTGTTACATGAAACTGGAAACTACGACAAAGCTATAACGTTTCATGAAAAAGCTCTGGAAATTCAAAAACAATCGTTAGGTCCAAATCATATTGATGTCGCTAGGTCTTTACACAATCTTGGTAATGTGTATAGTGATACTGGAAACTACGACAAAGCTATAGAATTTTATGAAAAATCTCTGGAAATTCGAAAACAATCGTTAGGTCCAAATCATGTTGATGTTGCTGGGTCTTTAAATAATCTTGGTACTGTGTTACATGAAACTGGAAACTACGACAAAGCTATAAAGTTTCATGAAAAAGCTCTGGAAATTCAAAAACAATCGTTAGGTCCAAATCATGTTGATGTTGCTGGGTCTTTAAATAATCTTGGTACTGTGTTACATGAAACTGGAAACTACGACAAAGCTAAAGAGTATTATGAAAAAGCTCTGGAAATTAAAAAACAATCGTTAGGTCCAAATCATGTTCATGTCGCTAGGTCTTTAAACAATCTTGGTACGGTGTTACATAAAACTGGAAACTACGACAAAGCTATAGAGTTTCATGAAAAAGCTCTGGAAATTAAAAAACAATCGTTAGGTCCAAATCATATTGATGTCGCTAGGTCTTTAAACAATCTTGGTAATGTGTATAAAGATACTGGAAACTACGACAAAGCGATAGAGTTTCATGAAAAAGCTCTGGAAATTCGAAAACAATCCTTAGGTCTATATCATGTTGATGTCGCTGCGTCTTTAAACAATCTTGGTAATGTGTTTAATGAAACTGGAAATTACGACAAAGCTATAGAGTTTCATGAAAAAGCTTTGGAAATTAAAAAACAATCGTTAGGTTCAAATCATGTTGATGTCGCTAGGTCTTTAAACAATCTTGGTAAGGTGTTACATGAAACTGGAAACTACGACAAAGCTATAGGGTTTCATGAAAAAGCTCTGGAAATTCGAAAACAATCGTTAGGTTCAAATCATGTTGATGTCGCTACGTCTTTAAACAATCTTGGTAATGTGTATAATGATACTGGAAACTACGACAAAGCTATAGAGTTTCATGAAAAAGCTCTGGAAATTCGAAAACAATCGTTAGGTACAAATCATGTCAATGTCGCTAAGTCTTTAAACAATCTTGGTAATGTGTATTCTAAAACAGGAAACTACGGCAAAGCCATAGAGTCTTACGAAAAAGCTCTGGAAATTCGAAAACAATTGTTAGGTCTATATCATGTTGATGTCGCTGCGTCTTTAAGCAATCTTGGTAATGTGATTAATAAAACTGGAAATTACGACAAAGCTATAGAGTTTCACGAAAAAGCAAAGGAAATTCGCAAAAAAACGTTAGGATCTAGTCAGGTTGATGTCGTTAAGTCTTTTAAAAAATCTAGGTGTGTTGTATTATGAAACTCGGGAATATAACAAATCTTTACAGTTGAACTTTGGTAGCTACGTGTTTTATAGAAAATTGTGCATTTCAAATTATGTTAATCCTAATTTTTACACATAGACCGTAGTTGCAAGGCTTCCCCCTTCCAAGTCATCTCCCGTCTGCCTCAGAAGGTATTTTTGGTAGTGAATAAAATGCTTGCAATTTGCATTTTGTGAAGTAAAATGAATCTAAATATGTAATGGTCCTTGTCTATAAATAGTTTCACTGATATCTAGTTAATAAACTTACTCTACAGCCGGAATCATCTAAGTAGAACTTAGAACTGCCCATGAACTGAATCTATTATTTTCCTTTAGACTTTATTTTTAAAGTAATTTGCTTTTATGTTAAACCAAGTAGTAATTTTTATTGTATGATTCATAAACATACTAAATTATATTGGGATGACAGAACTTTATGACATAAATTTTTTTAAATAAATACTATCCTTTTAGTTGTTCATATTCTTTGATACATTCAGTAATTTTTCACCCAGCTCCATAAGCTTAAGACCATATTCCAAATTCCTACAATTTCCAAGGGATACCCCTTTCATACCATACATACCACCCCACCAAGCTATAGCCAATATATCTGTACTGTCACTATCTCCACCATGAAACATAGAACAAGAACACAATTAAAACCAGGAATCCTTTGCCATCATCAAAGCATACTAAACAATCATTGGTGCATCATGACCACTGGACCCACCCCAACCTGCATAACTCACAGATTTATAAAAAGCATCACGTCCAGGTATGTTATATGTCATTGGAAACTTTGGTTCACTGTTTCCTTTGATTTTTTCAAGTAAGTAATCGAAGGTAGAGTTGAAGGTAAAACATTTAAGAAAAGCAGAAAGATTGAAAAGCTATAAAGGTGTGTTAAAATGAAAAGAAATGCAGATAACAGGAAAACCTAGCAAACTGTATACTAAGCGACAATAGACAAAACACTAGACATAAGTGTCTTGATAATTGATACATGATCTGAAATCGTTTCTTTATTATGAAAGGCAAATACCCATTGAGTTCTATAATAACTGGAGCTGCTAACTTTACTGGGACGAGGTCGCCAAAAAAAATGGCGGCCAACGGACGTATTTCCCATTGAGTTCTATAATAACTGAAGCGGCTAACTTTACTGGGGGGAGGACGCCAAAAAAATAGCGACCAAAGGACGTATTTCCGCTGAAATGATCGCTTTGCAGAAAAATAATATTCTCGACCTCCCCCTGGTGTCTATAGTAAATTATAAAGAATTTTTCAAAAACAAACACGATATCACAGAATATGGATATCGTTAGTTCCATATTCTGTGACGATTCTTTTTTGGCATTTCTTTTATAATGCCAACACTTCAATCGCTGTCGTAGTTTCCACAAAAAGGAACATATCGCTTCTCACAGGTGAGGTAGTTGTTTGTTTTGTTAGTCCGTCAACGATTGAAAAGCAATTATACATGCACTTGAAAAGCCATAAAATACATATTAAAGATCGGATTTTTTAAGACTGACTTGAACGCCAAATATACTGATGTTTTCCTGTTTTTGTTTATAAAATTCTGCATACTTTACTGTCATTTGTTAATGCATGAAATCGTAAATTTACCCATTTATTTGCAAAATAGTTTCCCTAAAGCAAAAAAGACCCTGCACGCATTTTGCTCTGTAAGTATCAAAAAAGAAATGATCAGCCCCAACGGTACCCATGATTTGGAGCAGAGCTTGTTATGTTCTATTTGCTGACAACATGCAGGGAAGATCAAGGAGTAAAGATGACTGGAAGATGTTATTGACCAGGCAGAGTCTTAAAAAATGATAATGCTGTAAAGACAATTGATTTATTGTCTGCCCTATCCAGAGTTATTTAATTTGATCGTGGTCAAATTCTATTGATGGAGAGAATGGAATCATTAAGGATGTCTTGAATGCTTTGAAGTTAAAGTTCATGATCCAAAGAAAGATGGCAAGAAGGTTGTGTGTCTTTTGACGCTTAATGAAATGTCAATTCACAAACATGTAAAATGGAAGGCCATAAAGTTTGTGTCTATGTAAACATTTGTACTGAGATTGATGATGACTCGATGCAGATGTGAAGCTTCAAACTGTATAAGCCATTGGGTTTTATGTAACTTAATGTTTAAATCATGTCATATCTTTATCAAAATATTTTAGTTGAGTGTTGTTTGAATGTTACTAATACCTAATGCACTATACTGAAGCATTAAAGATTCAGTGATGAAACCTTCAAAGTTACTGTTCTGTATATTTATTCATCATTACAGTTTTTGCTTTAAGAAACAGTTTGAGCTTATTTACCTATTAGAGTACAGAATGGAGATTTAGCATATGTAATATTGCTGCTTTTTTAAAGAAAACTTTTACACTTTTCAAAGCTTTTCTACAAATTCTTTGCTTCTTATTTCTTTTCATGAGATTGATGGTATAGAGGTAATATAATCCAATGACTTTATAGTTTCTAAAAAGCTTTTAAGCTTCTAGCATAAAAGTACACTATGGGTATTTAATTTATTTGGTTTTATTGCCTTGCTATGACATATCTACTTGCTCTTCATCATTCTTATATGAACTAAACACCAGATGTGGACACTCAGAGAACAAAATGCACTACCAACTGCTTATGAAATTTATTATTGAGGAGAAAACTGTGTTAATCATTCAAATTGTGCACTTATATTGCAAATATAGAAAAAACAAAACAAAGTGAAAAAGAAGGGTAGAAGTATTAAAACTACAAATGAATTATAAACACCATTGAAAGCATAAGTGTTTTGATGATTATTTGCATTTTGCCCAATTCATATATCAATACAACAAAATCAAAATGTGCTACAACTTTACGAGTATCTGATTCAGTGAACTCCATATATATATATATATATGGAATGATAACGTCAATACATTTTATAGATATAAAATTGAAGCCAAAGTCCTAGTCTCTTGCGCGGTTTGTACGTCAGTTCCAGTCCTTCAAAATCAAATATTCACGCGGTTTGTACGTCAGTTTCATTCCCCTGAGTGCCAAATATACACGGCCAATATAAATTTGAATACAAATTGCAATAGCATAAATATATAAACAACATCACGACAAACAACACACGAGGCCAACTCTTCGCAAAAGGTTATTTTTTACAGCTGAAACTTTACTACAGTGAGTTCATTGTAACTTACAACTTGTAACGAGGAAAAGCCAACTGAAAATTACACTGTATGCTAAAAAGACAATACAATAAGAAAGTATGACGAGAAAATATTCAAGCAAAAAATTTTCTTACATCGGAAGGTAAATTTTCAAACGGTGTCACACAGTGTTTGTCTTTTTTTGTCATTTCAGTGGATTTAAAGATCTGTTTTTCCGAAGAAAAAAAAAATTTTGAATATCCAGTTGCATAAAAAATATTGAGTCCATAGCTCACATTTTTACTTTTTACAAAGCGGCTGTATTTTTCATCGACTTTGATAGTGCTTGAAATATTAAATGGATGTCATCTCGATGTCAATAATTGAATATCCTTAAAGACTTTGATATCTTTTAAAGGAAAACAGCAGCGTAAGAGCAGATCGACTAAGTCCACCTCACCTTGCTTCTCGATTTATCACTTTGATTCAATTTCCGTGAATCTTTTGATTCCAAAAATTTCGTTATTTTTACGCTCTGATCAAGATCCGAACTCTATCATTACCAAGGGACAAATGATTTAAAAAAAATAAAATGAACACGCGAGTGAGTAGAATCTGACGTGTGATGACGAATGATGACGACAAATATTTTTTTGACTTCAATTTTTGGCTTCGGTTATCATTCCAGTTATTCAAATGTCGAGTTCACTGATCTAATGCCGCCAAAAAATGGCGGATTTCGTCCGTTGCCGCTGAGATTTACCGAAATTGACCACTTTTCCGAAAATTTCGCAATTTCCCTCCTGAGGAAAGAGTAAGGAAAATGTATGTGTGTATTCGGGATTCGGCAAGCAATTTTTTGATGACAATCAGGGTAAAAACCTTAAATTCATAACAGCGAGTCAATTGTGGTTGTTAGATATCTGCTCCTACGAGGATGCATTTATAACTATCGACGAAAGAGCTATATGTCGGCTACACATGTATGAATGCAGATGTGCGTCGTTTTCCTACCAGCATTAAACTTGTATGATGGATTAAACTGTTCATAGATTAAACATAGTTCATCTCCACGGTTCACGAGAGAGAAGTTAGCTTATTTGTTATCATTGCTATTTTGCTTCTTTTCATGCAATGGGCAATGGCTTTTTTCGCCACAATTGTAGGATTTTTACTAGTTTCTTTAAAAAGTAAATATTAAATCTCTGGATGTTTTCGGATTTTCTGTAATTAAGTTTCATATTAAATTTCAAAAAGACTCAAGTCTGCATAGGTTTGGTAAATGAAAACACACAATATTGTATAGAAATTACTTTAAGTAACCTTTTCGTGATGTTCTGAAGTGCAACTGAATGTAAATACCTGTGGGGTGATTATGAGTCATCCTTCCACTTTCAACAGCAATTTCAATTAACATTTCAATTTGATCTTCACAAGGAAACATCAAACCTATACACATGGATCTCATAGCTGCACCACATCCACCATCTCGTTCATTATATGGTATAATGTAACCTTTTTCCTCAAGAGGTTGTAACAAGAAACATGCCTTTGTTGTGGTCTGCCCAGGAGCTCTTTCCCACATATCCTCAGCGCATGTCTTCTTGTACTTTGAAGCCATAATGCACAATAACTCTTCCGTTGTTGCCCATTCAGAAACCAACGCTTCTGCTGTAGCAATGTGTAGTACAGTGTCGTCACTAACCCTCCATCCTTTAATGTCAATTTTATTAAGTCCTCCGAGTTTTTCATGAATTTGAGTACGACTTTCACAGAGTTCCAACAAACCATTCTTATAACCTAGAGCACCCCCCACTCCACTGAGAACCATAACTGCTTCGTACTTCTCGGATAATTCGACCGTACTTTCAAGAGCCATTTTTAATATGTTTACTTTACCGTAGTTTAATGAATGCCTAACGTAGGTTTTTGAAACCCGGAAAACACCAAGCTTCCCTCAATTTAGCCAACTAATACAAACAAAAATTTATTTTTTGCTTTGTTTCAATTATGTTTCAAACTATTTTGTTTAGACGAAAGCGTTGGGAGACTGAGATTTGTTTACTTTGTAATCTTTAATCTTTACCTGATTCCATGATCTTCAACCCGAATAACAGTTTGCTTGTTGCAAATTCAAAAGTTCCTTCCTTAGATCATGGATTATCCAATTATGGATTTAATCCTGACTTGACAGTTAGGTTGCCCATAAAAGAATTTGAACAAACTCACGAATTTACGCAGAGAGTAAATTACAAATGAGAAACATATATATATATTGAACAAAACTCCCACTTTTTTTGAAATCATTGGCTTTAAAAAAATAGGTACGCAGTGCGTACACGTGGGTAGCCTATTAAGTAAATAGGGCTAAATGAAGTTGGTAAATGAACATAATTGAAATAAAATTGTATATTTCATATAATTTTCACCAAACTCGTTTAATATTTAAATATTCATTTTAGTTATATGACTAAGTAAGTGTTAAACCATTTCTGCATTTTTTGAACGTTTCAGCTTAGATTGCACCTAAGCCACATAAATGCATATGCTCAAAGGAATTGCACCAAAGAAAGTAACATCATTTACATTTCTTCCGAATTTTGAAGGGTTTTTTCACTGAAAACCGTTTTTTCTATGATTGTGTTTTACAAAAGCTTTCTGAACTGTCTTAGAGGTCGTTCAGAGAACGTTTTTCCCCGACACGATGAATGAATGAATGACGGAAAATCTTTATTTTGACACGCTGGCCTTGTCAACTAGGGTTGATTTCCACGAGGGGCGTGCTTTTGTTCAAAAACAATTATAAAATTTACTAAGAAATAAAAAATCTATAGAAGAGAAAGATAAGTTTAAATATTTACAGAGTTTAGTTTATTTCATCAGTTACATATCAAACTAAATCATAAAATGCAAGCAGCAAAAGTGACACGCTTTTGCTATTTCTGAATTCTGCTGGAATTGAATTCCAAACAGAAGCCCCATCATACGCAAAGCTTTTCTTCAAGGAGTTAGTACTAGGCATAGGAACATTCAGACAACTTATAATATTGTGTAGATTGTAATCAGTGATGTCTTTTTTATAGGTAAACAATGTAGTAAGTGAATTTGGTCCTGCATTTTTTAATAATTTAAACATCAGCTTTGATTTAGCTTTTTTTCTAAGTATTTCAAGAGGTCCCCACTTCAATTCTTGTAATGTGTTAAAATAATCGACATCATTGCCCATGCTTATGATAATTTTTGCAGCTCTATTTTGAAGCTTTGTAGTCTTTTGGACTGAGTTTCCCCCAATACACCCCAAACTTCACAGCAATATGTGAAGTAAGGATGTACCAGGGCATTATAAATAGAGATAAGTGTTTGTTTGTCTGTGTATTCCTTTAATTTTCTAAGGGCAGAAATACCGGCTGCTACTTTTTTGCAAATTTTATCAGTGTGACTCTTCCAAGATAAGTGTTGGTCAATTATTCAACCCAAACTTCCGTACTCATAAATTCTATTTATAACGTAATTGCCAATTGCAATATGTAAATTAGAAGTAAAAAAATTCTTGATAATTTGTTTAGAGCCTATGATCAAATATTCTGTCTTGGTTGAATTCAAACTAAATTTGTTTGCTATCAACCACTTTTCAAGATTTTTCAAGTCAGAGTTTACTGTCTTTTCTAGTTCAACTATATCATTATTTGAAGCAGTTATGCTAGTATCATCAGCAAACATTCTTGGTTTACATTGCTCTAAGCATGAGGGTAAGTCATTTATATATATTAAGAAAAATAACGGACCTAGAATAGAGCCCTGGGGAACTCCACAGGAGAGGAGTTGTTGGGATGAAATAAAATTTTTGATTTGGCATCTTTGAGTTCACTTTGACAGATAGGATTCAATTAGTTTGTAGGCTTTGTCCTTTAATTCCATACAACTCAAGTTTTCTTAATAAAATTTTGTGATCAACAGTATCAAAAGCCTTTTTTAGATCAATTTGGACTACAAGGTTGAGCAACCTTTTATACATGTTTGTGTACCAATCATTTGTACAGTCAATTAAGGCAGTTGTTGTTGAATGTGATTTTCTGAAACCAAATTGGCAATCACTTAGGATTTCAGATTTAGAAGAGTAGTTGTAAAGTTGATTGTAAAGTATACGTTCAATGATTTTACTGACAACTGGAAGAATTGAAATTGGTTTATAGTTCCCAGGCAAGTTATGGTGTCCATTTTTGTAAAGTGGTATAATTCTTGCTGTTTTCCATTCATCTGGGAACTCAAATTCGTTTGTGTTGGGATGGAGTTGTTTGTACGATCTGGATTCTTGTAATTTTCGATGAAGTTCGTGGTGTCGTTTTGTTCGATATGCGGATGTTGCTTTTTTGATGGCTTCATTAATGGATTTGGCGTCTGATTGTGTCGTGTGTGTTGTTACGGTTTCTCGATGTTCTTGTAGTTTATGACGGTAGATTCGTAAGCGGTTGTGGGCATCTGATATGAGGACGTTTAACATACGGCGGCCGTTTGATTGTGCAATTTGTTGAGCGTGAGTTGTTTTTAATGGTGGTCGATAGTTGATGCTGTTCGGTAGGATTTGTTGTTGTTTGCATTTGTGTAGGAAGTGAAGCTGCTCCAATGTTGATGACTCTTTATGTGCAAATAATTCCCATTTTCTTGTTCTTCTGAGAATATCTATCCCATACGTCGATTTTATAAGTTTTAAAATTTGTAATCCAGGCATTGAATACATAAAAGATAAACGTTTCTCCGGATTTTTAAATCATTTTTATTGAGCTTTCGACTCGTTGCTTCGAGCCTTCATCAGAACGAAAAATATTTATTTACACGTACTTTTTAGCTTGGAGACGTTTAGAGCGTCTAAAGCCTGTGACACACGACGTGGTCTCTGAGACTTTTGTTTCCGAGACCTGGTCTCCGACACAAAGTTTTCCAATGTGTCATCTAGGTTTCGGACACTTTTTGTTTCGGAGATTTTTTGAGATTAGGTCTCCGAAATAGAAACGTGTTCTAATTCCAGAGACAAGTCTCCGAGACAAAAAACTTTCGGCCAATTAAATATCACAATTAAAGTCACGTGGTATGAGACAGAAAAACAAGATGGCGGTCGAATGGATAAGGGATAAAGTTTAACGTTTGGCAGAGTTGTGGGAGACTAAACCAGTATTGTATAATACAACGCTCCCTGACTATCATGATAGAGTGGCTAGGAGGAATGCAATTGCGGAGATAGCGAATGCTTTAGAAATGAGTGGTGAGTAAGCATTTTTTACTGAATTCAGATTGATAAGTATACCGAATCCCATTACGTTGTAATACTTATGAAGTAAATATTTATGTGCATTTAAATGACGATAATAAAGAATAGGGCTGATTTCTATTGTTATAAACGATTTTCCAACTTTTGCAGAATGACAATTTATTTCAACATGTTTCAGGCTTTCAGCAGTCAGCCACTGTTTTATTACATTCAGTTTTTCAGCCTGTTTGAACGGGAAAATATGTCTCATGTTGTTTCCACTTTATAGCAATGGATGTTTTTTGCAAAATCAAAAACCTTAGAAGTCAGTTCTGCAAAGAAATTGCCAAAGGCACCAAACCCAAAAGTGGATCTGCCACAGATGATGTCACACCAAAGTCCAAATGGCAATATTTGACACTGCTTTTGTTTTTAAAAGATCATGTGGAATGTAGATCATCTCGCTCCAATCTTGATAAAGTATGTTGTCTTGTTTGAGAACTTAGTTTGAGCTAATGCAACATGTATGTTTAGGGTTTACTTTGAAGTAATTTATTTTTCTCTTTTATATAGGAGAGATCGAGTAAAAATAGCAACACTAGCAACTCTACTTTTCTTGAAGAAGAGCAAGAACAAAAAGATGATAACAATGAACTAGATCAAAATGTTTCAACCACATCTTCCACTAAGCGCCCAATTAATGTCTCAGACAAGGAATCAAAAGCTACAAAAGCACAAAAAAGAGATATTGAAGAAAGAGGAATTTTGAAAAAAGCTGGAGATCTCCTAGAAATTATTGCATCAGGGAAAAAATCAAGCTTGAGTTCAGTCCATGTTTCTTCTGCTGATGAAAGTACTGATGATTTGTTTGGAAGGTATATTGCATCTGAAATTAAATGTATTGGAAATGATTCAGCAAAAAGGTTGGCTAAAGTACGAATACAGAATACTTTGTTTGAAGCACAGTCAACTTCAGTTTGTGCAACTTTCTCCACTACAAGTCCAGTACTCTATTCCAGTTCTCACTACAGTCACAGCCCATGCTCATCTGTACAATCAGGCACTAGTGACAGTCCTAGTCCTACATCTTATCAGCCTTTGACTAATCAATTGGTATTTGATCAGATGGCTGAAAAGACCTACTAAACTCTTTAGAACAAGAACAAGAACAAAAACCAATATAAATAGTTGTTTGCTTTTTATTTTATACAAAAACTAGTTGATAACAAAAGTTGGTGACACAGAAGGTAAAAAAAATGTTTTTTAGTAAATTTACATGGGTGCTGTGCTTGACAATCTTTCATTTTTTGTCTATAATATCATGCAATACTTTGTACCATTTTGGTCTAAATAGTCAAATATTACTAACCCAAGATCAAGCTTTGTTTATATTTTGCTCATGTTTGTTTATATTTTGCTCATGTTTGTTTATATTTTGCTCATGTTTGCTTATATTTTGCTCCTTTGCCAAGGAACTGATCCTGCATCTGAACTAAAGTAGTTGCAGATGTGTTCTCGAACAGGTTGGGCTGTAGATGTTGATCTGTTACTTCCTTGTTGTCCCAAAGAAGTCATCCCACTTGCAATAGGTTGACTTCTCCATTCATCTTCAATCACATCATGAGTAAAATTATCCTCTCTATCCATCATAAAATGTGGAGTGTAAATGTTCCATCCTTCATTTCTGGCTCGCATAAAGTTGTGCAAGGAGCAACAAGCTAAAACTACCTTTTCAACTGAATTAGGTTGTAGGGCTATTGGTGTCATGAATACCCTAAATCTATTTGCTAATATGCCAAAAGCATTTTCTACTATTCTGCGAGCTCGGCTTAACCTGTAATTGAATATGCGTTGTTTCATTGTCATGCTGCGTTGACCATATGGTTTCATCAGTTAAGGTTTGAGTGGAAAAGCATCATCTGCCACAATTACATATGGGATTTGAGTTACATCACCTGGCAAGGATGTCGGACTTGGCAGGTTTAGGCTGTTTGTTTCCAGTGCATTGCTTAGTGATGATTCTCTGAACACTCCACCATCAGATACTCTACCATTTTTACCAATGTCAATATACAGAAATTTGTAGTCAGCATCAACCAATGCTAGAAGTACAATACTAAAGTTGTTTTTATAGTTAAAATAAAAGGAACCACTATTGTTGGGTGCCTTCAATAATATGTGCTTCCCATCCAAAGCACCCACGCAGTTAGGGAAGTTCCATCTCTCTGAAAAGGCTTGTTCTACTTTCCGCCAATCCTCTTCAGTTGTTGGAACCTACATGTAAAACAATTAGAATACTGCTTTACTGCAACCAACAAGTATTTGCATTGCCAATTAAATTAGCGAGGATAATGTTAATATATGTATTTTTTGGAGGAAACAATTACCTTAATGTAATCTTTGAGGACTTCTGATAAAGCATCACATGTTTCTGGGATTATTTTCCCCATAGTTTGTCTAGCTATCCTGTACAAGAATTATAAGCTGCTGTACGATTCACCTAGAGAAACACAATGAATGTCTCGCTTCTATTCAAACAACGTAATTACATGTTTAGCCTAAAGTCCACACATGTCCCCACGCTCACTTTTCATCGATACTGATACATAAGTTAGCAATTACAAACTCGTTGCTAAGAAACGTAGGGTTACTGCCAAACGTTCACCTGCTGGAATAGAACGTCTCATGTTTGTATCTTTTTTTGTTATTAATGGCGTAATCAAGCTTTCTAGGACACCAAACGATTCCGGATCCATTCGTAGAAATTTTTTGTATCCATTCGAATCTGACAAGTGCAATTCTTTCACTAAATGCTGGTATGCCCCATACTGCTGTCTTTTTTTCATCCATTCTCTTATCCAAACAGTTCTTTTTTTCTGTCTTCTGCGTCGTTGTTTAATTGCTATGCATAGAACAATGGCAGCACAAGTAGCAGCGGTCAGGTCGTCTCCCGCCATATTTCAAAAACAAACAAAATGACTCCGCAAAGTTTCAGAAACATTTAGTTCGTTTGTCATGTTAAGTTTCTGAAAGTTTTGTATCGGAGACCATGTCTCGGAAACAAAAGTCTCGGAGACCACGTCGTGTGTCACAGGCTTAATTGGATGAGTGGGTGGATTTATGTGATTGGATGGGGTGAAATGCGTTGCCATGGGTTTTGGTGTATTGTGAATATGATTGGTGTTAATAACATTAGAGTGTAGTGTTTTAGTTTTGGTGT